CAAAAGATAGGTTAATCAACTACTAGAACATTCCACCATTCTTACCACAAACCAGCTTTTGGGATTTCATTCAGGTCAAATAGAAATTTACAGAAACGAACAAAGAGCCAAAAAAATGTAAAGGAAAATAAATTACTCTTTTTTTTTCTTTTTCTCTTTTTTTTTCTTTGTTTTTTTGGCAAAAGACAACCTGCAATAATGAAGTAAATGTAGAAATGTGTTCTTTTGACAAATAGCTATATAGCATTAAATGTGATTAACACCAAACTACATGATCTGTGAAATGTTGCTCTTGCTCAGGCTTTTTTTTTTTTTGGTTGGTTTTATGAAAGATAAGATAAGAAATTAGGCTCTATTACATAAGTTATTTCTATCTAACTCAAAATTCATCCTTCAAGCATATGCACCAAGCATACCACACTGACCATAACACATACAATTTTGAAAAATTCACCAAGTAGAAGTCTCAACTCCATTGATCTCACGAGTGTCAGAAATATTTGAGTGCAAAGGTTTTCTCTCATGGAGTTGAAAATGGAACAATCAGCGCTCATTGTGAGGAAGGTAAAATTTAGGACAAACAATCAAACGAACATTGATCAAAAGATAGGTTAATCAACTACTAGAACATTCCACCATTCTTACCACAAACCAGCTTTTGGGATTTCATTAAGGTCAAATAGAAATTTACAGAAACGAACAAAGAGCCAAAAAAATGTAAAGGAAAATAAATTACTCTTTTTTTTCTTTTTCTCTTTTTTTTTCTTTGTTTTTTTGGCAAAAGACAACCTGCAATAATGAAGTAAATGTAGAAATGTGTTCTTTTGACAAATAGCTATATAGCATTAAATGTGATTAACACCAAACTACATGATCTGTGAAATGTTGCTCTTGCTCAGGCTTTTTTTTTTTTTGGTTGGTTTTATGAAAGATAAGATAAGAAATTAGGCTCTATTACATAAGTTATTTCTATCTAACTCAAAATTCATCCTTCAAGCATATGCACCAAGCATACCACTAACCATGTAATGATGTTCTAACAGTGATTTTAGCACTCAAAAGATCAATAAAGGTTCAAAAGTCATTTTCTCAACTCTCATAACTCACCAAAAATCAAGCACTTAGACTCGGGAATTTTCTCAGCTGACATGCATTAACCTCCATCTTACCACAAGGTTTAGCACGTGTAAAAAGAGAAACTCTAGAAGTCATTTCTTAGTAACCACGACAGCGAAAATCGACTCAAACCAAACATTTTGAAATCATACTCAGATAACTTCGCAAAAATTTTAACCCAAATATCAACATGACAAAAATCACTCTTACGCATGAATATGCTCATCACCCCCAACCAAAATCAGACAGTGTCCTCAATGTCAAAAAGTATAGAAATATAGAGAAAGAAGACACCTGGACGATAAGCATTCCACATATAATCACAGCTTGAGCTTCCTGATATGATTCTCCAAAAACACACATAAAAAATGTAAAAAGAAGCAAAGAAAACAGAAAATGAAAATATGGTATAGGAGATGTGAGTAAACTACTCAGGGCTGGTAAACGGGGTCGTCGAGAATGATCTCTTCAACTTGATTCACCCGCTCTAAGTAATTCTTCAGACGCTGGCCATTTACTTTGAAGATTCTCCCATTGGTCGGGTCCTCAACCTCGACAGCACAATTGGAAAAAATGTGTTTCACTATGAACGAGTCAGTCCACCGTGACCTCAACTTATTTCTATTTAACCCAAAATTCATCCTTCAAGCATATGCACCGAGCATACCACTAACCATGTAATGATGTTCTAACAGTGATTTTAGTACTCAAAAGATCAATAAAGGTTCAAAAGTCATTTTCTCAACTCTCATAACTCACCAAAAATCAAGCACTTAGACTCGGGAATTTTCTCAGCTGACATGCATTAACCTCCATCTTACCACAAGGTTTAGCACGTGTAAAAAGAGAAACTCTAGAAGTCATTTCTTAGTAACCACGACAGCGAAAATCGACTCAAACCAAACATTTTGAAATCATACTCAGATAACTTCGCAAAAATTTTAACCCAAATATCAACATGACAAAAATCACTCTTACGCATGAATATGCTCATCACCCCCAACCAAAATCAGACAGTGTCCTCAATGTCAAAAAGTATAGAAATATAGAGAAAGAAGACACCTGGACGATAAGCATTCCACATATAATCACAGCTTGAGCTTCCTGATATGATTATCCAAAAACACACATAAAAAATGTAAAAAGAAGCAAAGAAAACAGAAAATGAAAATATGGTATAGGAGATGTGAGTAAACTACTCAGGGCTGGTAAACGGGGTCGTCGAGATTGATCTCTTCAACTTGATTCACCCGCTCTAAGTAATTCTTCAGGCGCTGGCCATTTACTTTAAAGATTCTCCCATTGGTCGGGTCCTCAACCTCGACAGCACAATTGGAAAAAATGAATTTCACTATGAACGAGTCAGTCCACCGTGACCTCAACTTAACGGTGTAGAGATGCAAACGGGAATCATAGAGATGAACCCGTTGATTCGGCTCAAAATTCTTCCACAAGATCTGCTTTTCACGAGTCGCTTTCATTTTTACCTTGATCCTGGAATTGTGCTATTTCAGCATGTCAATCAATCGTTGTTCTTACAATGCATCGAGTTTAGACGAGATGATGACTGGGAATGTGCCTTCATCTCCAAAGAATGCACGTTTTAAGCCCTCAGGTAGTTGGGCTAGCTTGACTTTTGGAGCCTCCTCGGTGGATGATTTAAGTTTTTCTCATTTTGTTGGGAGCTCCTCAAAACATGGTGGCCCAAACTTGGTTCCTCTGTCCTTTAAGTTGTTGAAAATTGCAAACAAGTGAGCCAACTCAGCAGAACCAAAATTTTCATAATCAGACTTTTGGAGGAGGTTTTCAAGATTTGAGAGTTGCTTTGCAGCTGAACCTCCTCCTCGATAAGTGTGTCGATCATGAATGTTTGCTAACACTCATCGTCATCACGTGGTTACTTTTGAATATGAAAAATATTCACCTCAAGGGTCATATTCCCGAAAGATATCTTCATGAGACCATCGTCGAGATTGATCTCTTCAACTTGATTCACCCGCTCTAAGTAATTCTTCAGGCGCTGGCCATTTACTTTAAAGATTCTCCCATTGGTCGGGTCCTCAACCTCGACAGCACAATTGGAAAAAATGAATTTCACTATGAACGAGTCAGTCCACCGTGACCTCAACTTAACGGTGTAGAGATGCAAACGGGAATCATAGAGATGAACCCGTTGATTCGGCTCAAAATTCTTCCACAAGATCTGCTTTTCACGAGTCGCTTTCATTTTTACCTTGATCCTGGAATTGTGCTATTTCAGCATGTCAATCAATCGTTGTTCTTACAATGCATCGAGTTTAGACGAGATGATGACTGGGAATGTGCCTTCATCTCCAAAGAATGCACGTTTTAAGCCCTCAAGTAGTTGGGCTAGCTTGACTTTTGGAGCCTCCTCGGTGGATGATTTAAGTTTTTCTCATTTTGTTGGGAGCTCCTCAAAACATGGTGGCCCAAACTTGGTTCCTCTGTCCTTTAAGTTGTTGAAAATTGCAAACAAGTGAGCCAACTCAGCAGAACCAAAATTTTCATAATCAGACTTTTGGAGGAGGTTTTCAAGATTTGAGAGTTGCTTTGCAGCTGAACCTCCTCCTCGATAAGTGTGTCGATCATGAATGTTTGCTAACACTCATCGTCATCACGTGGTTACTTTTGAATATGAAAAATATTCACCTCAAGGGTCATATTCCCGAAAGATATCTTCATGAGACCATTCCTACAATTGATAAGTGCGTTTGTTGTGGCAAGGAAAGGTTTTCCTAGAATGATGGGAATGGCTGACTCCATATTCACCATGGATTATGTATCCAAGACAAGAAAGTCCACGGGGTAATAAAACTTGTCGACTTGCAACAGAACGTCTTTCACTATTCCCCGTGGTCTCTTAATGGATCTATCGGCCAGTTGCAGAACCATGAATGTGAGCTTAATTTGTCCAAGACCCAATTGCGAGTAGACCGAATAAGGCATGAGGTTAACGCTCGATCCTAGGTCTAGTAATGCTTGGCCGAATTCATGTGTCCCGATCTGGCAAGAAATGATAGGAAAACCTGGATCCTTATACTTTGGCGGTGTCTTCTAGTCAATCACCGCACTTACTTGTTCTGTCAAGAATGCAGTTTTCTTGATATTGTACTTTCTCTTTATGGTGCACAGATCCTTTATAACCTTGGCGTAGGCCGGCACTTGTTTGATCACATGTAGTAAGAGAAGATTGATCTTTAATTGTGTCAAGTGCTCTAGAATATCACTTTGATTTTTCGGCACTTTCCCAGCAGGTCGGAGAGCTTGGGGGAAAGGCACCCTTACCAAAATTTTTGTTGGCTCTTCTCTCTCCTGAGCTGATTCTTCATTACTCGAAGTGGTTGTACTTGTTGATGGCATGTCAAAACTCTTACAACTTTGAGTAAAGATGGGGTTAACTTCCTTGATATTTTGACCTTCAGAGTTGAAAGTTTGAGCCATGTGTTGTCCTCTCAAATTGGACTGGGCTTGTGATGGAAATTTACCGCGCACCTGAATGGTTAAAGCTTCTGTCAGCTTTGTGATCTGACTTTTTAATTTCTTGTTCTCTTCCACCAGCTGCGTGAGCATTGAATCAACTCTTTGATTCGTCTTATTTTGCGCATCCATAAAAGCTTTTAGGGTATCCTCTAGAGAATTCTCTTTCGGCTGCATGTTATTTTGAGGCGTAAAGTATGTCCTTGGTGGTTGAGAATGTTGTTCTGGTCTCCATTGCCCTCTAGATGATTGTGCATGTTTGTTCGAATCTCGTCAACTGAAATTTGGGTGGTTTTTCCAACCAGGATTGTAAGTTTTTGAGAAAGATCCATAAGGCTTCTTGTATGTGCCCAATACATTGCATTGCTCCTCGTATACCCTTCTCATTTCACTTAAAGTGTGGCAATCCTGAGCTAGATGGCCCTCTCCACCACAAACGAAACATGACTCATATGCCTCTGTTCTCACCATCATGTGGATTCCTTTATTATCTTTACTTTTGAGGGCCTCGATTTGCTTTGTCAAAACTTCAAGTTGAGCCTTGAGGCTATCGTCTTCCCTCAATTGATCAACTCCAGCTGGTCAGGACCTACTGGTGCTCTCAGTAGCACTTAGTCCAGTCCAAGTATGAGCTTTCTCAGCTAACTCATTTAGGTACTCGATAGCTTCGTTAGGATCCTTCTGGAGAAAATCCCCATTGCACATCATCTCAACAAATTGGCGCTCTCAGATTGTGAGTCCATCATAGAAATAGCTTACGAGACGTCAACCTTCATATCCATGGTGGGGACACAGATTTAACAGATCTTTAAAACATTCCCAAGCTTGATAGAGAGTTTTGTTTTCCTTCTGAACGAAATTTGAGATATGTTGTTTCAAATTGTTGGTCTTATGGTGTGGGAAATACTTGTTGATAAATGTCGTTGTCATTTCTTCCCACGTACCAATAGACCTAGGCCTAAGAGAATACAACCAGCTTTTGGCCTTGTCCTTTAGAGAGAAAGGGAAAAACTTCAATCTGACGGTGTTTGCGGCCTCATCACGGCTGTGAAAGGTGGCCACCACCTCTTCAAACTCCCAGATGTGTACATATGGGTTTTCATTCTCTAACCCGTGAAAGGTTGGGAGAAGTGCAATCATACCCGGCTTGAAATCCATAGGCGGTGCATTCAGAGGGAACATAATACAAGATGGGGTGGTCGTTCGCGTTGGGTGCAAGTAATCTTGCAACATCCTCTGCTAAACTTCCTCGTGTTGTGCCATTGCGAATAGATTTTGAAGTGCGAATTCCAACGACGAGTGTGAAGACGGAGGCGTAGAAGATGAGTCAGATAGAATTTCACTAGGGGTTTTTAAGTCTGGACGTTAAGTAAATCTCCTTAGTTCATCTCTATACCGTTGCATTCACCCTAAGTGGCTTTTTTTTAATTTTTAATTTTTTAATTTTTTTTGTTTTTTTTATTTTTAATCAAAATAAAAAAAAATAATTATATAGTAACGTAAATTGTAACCACCGAGAGTGCTCCCAGGAAAGACTATAGCTCTTGGCTCAATGAATAGTCTCCTAGACAGATCAACGTTCCCAGGAAAGATTGGTGGGGCGAGGCCCACTTAAGTACCAACTTTCTTAGACAGAACTCTCTCAGATTGTACTTTTCACGTAACCACACAATTATCCTCAAAATCAATTATTAAATTTTATTGAATAAATTATGAAATAAAATCTAATCAATGGAAACTATTCCTAAAGTCAAAGGCCTAAATCTACCAAATTGTGAAATTCCTAGATTAAGAATAGTCAATTAATTATAATCATAATTATAATCTGAAGAATTAATGTAAACTATAAAAGGAAAAATTAAATTAGGCAACAATATAATAATTAATAATTAAATTATACAAATAGAAAAACAAAATAAAATTCTAACTTATAAAAAAGTAAAAGATTACAAAAATCAAATCACAATTAATTCTAAAACTAAAGAGGAAAAATAAAATCAGTAATAAAAACAAATAGTGTGAGATTTTTTTTTCAGCAACCAAAACTATGGAAATAAAAAAAAATGATAAAGGGTACTTTTTTTTTTTTTTTTTTGTTTCGAATAAGGGACGGTAAAATAATAAGAATACAAAAGTTTGCAGTAACTATAGATTGAATACACACGGAAACTGGCAGCACCTTTTTTTTTTTTAAATAAACGACAAGAATAAAGCAATTAACGACAAGAATCAAAAGTAAACTTTTTTTTAATAGGGGCTAAATCAGATCACGCAAATCAAGAAAGAGAAACGGAGAAAAATAAAAATAAAAAGAAAATGCACTTACTTTTTTGGCTTAAAAATCTACTAATCAATCTTGTTAGTAGCACCTCTCCGGTAACGGCGTCAAAATTTAATTAACGCCCAAAGGTGATGTTCACAAGTGGTCAATTATAGCACAGAAGGGCGGTCGTATCCACAGAGAGATAACAAAATAAACAAGAAAGATTAACAGAATAAGAGCGTTAGAGAAATATAAACAATAAATAAATTAATGAAAAAGAAGAGTTTTTGTAGACTTTGTTGCAAATAAAAAGGAGAGAAGATTTATGTGAAAGAAATTCAGTAGTAAAAACAGTAAGGTGTCGAGAATCCTTAATATTTCGTTTACCAATTCAAGTTTTGATTCATAAAATAAAAAGATCGAATAAATTAAATTCCTATGTTGACTCTGAAAATATTATTATTACAAGTTATCCAAAATCAACAATATATCAATTTGACAATATTGCAGTAAAAGACAATTTGTAAAATAATTTGAATAACAAAATAGTGCGTGACAGAATTATATAAGAAAAACGTGACTGAACTTATATAACAATTGGCACACAATATTTTGAAAAATAAATGATAGATAGATGATATTTAATTCATTCAGATATTAAACTTTACAGCACAAGGAATCAAAAGCCTGAATTGGGTCACTTAACAAAAATTCATCTCTAACCTTACCAAGAGAACTCTAGCCTAGCTTGCAAAACATTCTCACAAGTTCTAGAGAGAAAATATGAGAGTGATAGCAAGACGACAGAAAACTGAATGTTCAAAGCTTATCAAAACCTTAGGCTAACCCCCTATTTATAGTGTTTAGAGGTTGTCTGTCAAATAAGGAAACAAACAATAAAAATAAAAAATTACAAAAAAAAAGAAACAAAATAAAATTACACATAAATTAGGAGAAATCATATATGTGCTTTGGGGAAGAAATCTGGCCAATTTTCTCTGATTTTGAAGGAGAAATTCAGATCCAGCACCCTCTAGACACATGTCAAAGCTAGGTTGGAGGAAATGGACTAAATTTCCACGTGTCGCGCGCGGAGAAGAGGAAGGGTGCTGGCAGACAAAGAGAGCTGGGGTCTGTGGAGAACAGCTGTCACACGTGGAGAAGAAGGCAGGCTGGCATCGCAGACGCGGGACCCATGCAGAGGAAAACATTGGACGCGGCTGATGGTGCGTGGAAGGAACGCGCGCGCTAAGGAGTTTTGCGTGCTGTTGACGCGCGCGAGGTGGAGTGGGGTACGCGCAGACCATAGGGGCCCACTTTTCTGGCTCGGCTGACGAGTGGTGCAGCTCCTCTCTCTTTTTGGCTTGTGTGGCTCAGTTGAAGGGCTTGAAAATATGGCTTTCATGGCTGCTTCTTGTGTAGCTTTTTACACTGCTTTCATCTGTAAATAATTAAACAAAAACTAGACAAATTCTAATTAAAAATATTATGAATAAAAATAATGAAATTGTTTAATTAAAGCTTAAATATTTTAATATTATATAAATCAAAAACAGTATTTAGGGTACATTTGTATGCACTAATCAGTTGGTGTTCGTGAAAATTTGAGTGTTTCATTGCTAATTCTATTTTGTCTCAGGTGTGCCCACACACACTTCTTCGTGGATTCTAAGAATTGGTGAGGAAGACTTTAGTTTTCTAAACTAACTTTGGAGCAAGGAACGTTCGAGGTTAAAGAATTCAAGTTATCATCCTAATCGGCTGCTAGGTATAATGCTAATTGAGTTCTTATTAATTAATAAATTAAAGTGATTAATTTATTCGTGCATAAATTAATATAATCTATAAAGTATCTCAAAAATTTTATGAAAATTTTTATTATACACGATCTGCTACTCACACGCTTCTGAATTCGATTCGAAAACCAACATCAATATCAATAGCTCATGACAATGTTTGCCAACCATCTGTCTTCTTTTGCTAAGGCCACTGGACAACAGGATAGTCCCAGTAACTCATACTTAACAGGTACATGTTTCTCTGTTTCTATGATGTCTCTATTATCTTCTTCAAGGTGTTAGATAGTGGACTCATGGCTTCTAGACATATATGTTCGAATGCAAATGTTTTTGTCTCTATGAGACCTATTAAGAATTCTACTGTCATTTTACCAAATCATACACGTATTGTTGTTCATTTATGTGGTGATGTCAAACTGCATTCCAAGTTGTATCTGACAGATGTCTTGTTTATCCATGAATTCAAGTTTAACTGTAGTGCTGTAGTGTATATATGTGTGTACAGCGTATTGAGAAAGATTGAATAAGAAAATTCAGTTTTTTCTCTCTTCCATTTTCTCTTTGTTTTCGTAATATGGTATACTAGGTGAATCAACGGATATTAAGAATTCATCTATTTTTCTGATTTTTTATCACGCTTCCAGTACATCAGATAACTCATCTTTCACTAATTATTAATGTATTTTGTATCGATTATAGACTTTTCTTATAATGATCCACCGTTGGCATATTAATTTTATAAGAAAAATTACATTATTGTGTACAACCAAATACAATAAAATGATATTCTTGAAATTACATTATTGTGTACAACCAAACACAATAAAATGATATTTTTGAGAATCAATTAAAAGAATATTCTTATGCGTAACTAAACGTGATAATGCATGTTTCCTAACTAAATATTATATTATCCTCTATCACCATTCTAGTAATATGATTCTTACTAATTGTCGCATGCCAAATGCCTCCAAAAATTTTTATTTTGAATAATAAAATGTAAGCCCGTTAAGTTTTGCAAAAGACCAAAATGAGTTGTATTTTGTTGTCTTGTCATAGAATGTTTTATGTAGTAAATATTGCATCATTATGATTATGAAATGTTAATTTTTGACTCAGATGTATATTCTTTCTGAATCTTTAAGTAAAAATTATTTTTTTCATTTATTCCTTTTGCATCTCGTTGGTCATAACATAGAATATTCACGTGCGCGCACGTGATTTACCAAACACAATAAACAACCTTTTACTAAAAAGGAAACACAAACGCAGACAAGAAGATGAACAACTAGTCTTCCCTTTTTCTTTTCGTTTTCATTTTGTACGGCACTTTAAGTGAAAAACAAATATCACTCTCCAAATAATATGAAAGTTTCTTGATAATCCCAAAAAAAATATATTGTGGGTAGTCACATACTTTTGAGTTGTTAGATCAATATCAAAATCTATCTGTTTCACATATTTTTTAATCTAATTTGATTTTAACAAGATTCAACGGTCAAAATTGAGACTACTGATAGAATGGAATACCAAAAAAACTCTCAAATAATATTATATTTAATGTCAACATTAACATAAACTCATACTTGTGTCAAATTTAACACTTTGAGTATAATAATGCTAAATTTTAATAATTGGATGTACATATATTAATTAAGTGTTGGCTTTTCACAATTATTGCAATATTGTTATTTTTTAAATTTCTTCAACAATTATTTTCATAAAATTGTATAATTTATTGACCTTAATCCTTAAACCCACCTACTGGGAATCATCACACTAAATTATCAAGAAAATATGTTAGAACAAATACCTGTCTCTATTGGTGCAGCCTCAATCTCCAACAGAAAATCTCTTTGACAAAGTATTCTTGGGGTTATCGCCTTCCTCAGTCAAATCACCAGATTTCTAAATGAGTGCTTTCTCTCTTGATGGGGAAGAGTGAAAACCTACCGTATGATTTGACCTATTAGGAACCATAACTATAAGTTTCTTAATATATTGTCCCATTAGGCACTTATTAAACTTAATCTGGTCAATATTTGATATCTACCCATTTGGTCCATACCCAGTTAAGAAACTTATTGGACTTTCCTAAATTGACCGCTTGATTTGTCCAATCAATTTAAATAGTGGTAATATAATTAATATGTTGCCCACAATAGATAATAGAAAATAAAATTATCTCACATATATATATATATATATATATATGTTTTTAAATACTTTATCTTCCTCT